GACGTCCCCACATTGGGGACGAGGACACGGACTGCAGGGTGTCCCCATGCTGGGATGAGGACATGGGGTGCACAACGTCCCCACATTGGGGATGAGGACACGGGGTGCAGGGCATCCCCCTGCTGGGATGAGGACATGGATTGCTGGATGTCCCCATGCTGGGATGAGGACACGGGGTGCAGGGTGTCCCCACATTGGGACGAGGACACGGGGTGCAGGGTGTCCCCGCACTGGGGATGAGGACACGGGCCGCAGGTGTCCCCGCGCTGGGGACGGGGACACGGGCTGCAGGACGAGGACACGGGGTGCAGGGTGTTCCCAAACTGGGGACGAGGACGCGGGGTGCAGGACGAGGACACGGGCCACAGGGTGTCCTCGCGCTGGGATGGGGACACGGACCGCAGGGCGTCCCCACAATGGGACRAGGACACGGGGTGCAGGGTGTCCCCACGCTGGGGATGAGGGCTGCTCCTCGCTGCCTCCCGCTCAACCTGCCCGTTTCCACGTGCGCAAATCAAAGGCGAAAGTTGGGGAATTCTCTTTCGTTGTTTTTTCCATCAGAACTCTTAAGTATTCAACCCAAGCATGGTTAAAGCAATTCTAAGACTTCTTAAAGGTTAAAAAAGACATAGAGATCTTCAAGATTCAATAGGGGCCAGTGAAGCGCTTAAGGAAGCTGCGGGCAGCACCGGTGACATCGGGGCCGACGGGCAGGAAAAGCAGCGCGTGCTCCGTGCGGAGCCTCCGCGCTGCCCCGCGCCGCTCGCGCTCACCGAAGCCTACGGCCAAGGAAGGCGCTTGGGGCGACGCAAATCCCTATTTGGGAGCACGRCGCGCTCCGCAATGGCTCTTTTCTTCTGCAGAACGGTCCCTCACTCTTTTGAAATCAACTTTCTTCTTCGTGCCCGTTACATTTGGCCGTACACGAGCCTCCATCAGCGCTAAGTGATTAGAGTTGGGTTAAATGGAAGGAAACGGCGCTGTTTCACAGCAGCGGGGCTCTGGGGGGCCCTGCGCCTCTTCCCGGGGGGAAAATCCACTTCCCGCCCCTCCCTGGGCAAATCCCCCAACAGGAGTCGGGATGAGCTCCCRCCCTGGCCGTGGCGGGTCCGCCTTGCCCGTCGCACGGACGCCACACGAGCTGCTCYGTCACGAGCTGCTCCATTCGGCAGGCTTTATTGGCATGCTTAAACGGTTTAAAATTGGTGGAAAAAAAGAAAAGATTTGGGCTGCTCCAAGTCCAAGGGCAGGTGCTGCAGGTCGCGGGAGGGCGACTTAGCTGAGCGTTTCTTACCGGGCATCCCTTCCCTCGGGGAATTGTGGCAGACTTCCGATTTAATTCCTTCTCTTCCAAAAAAAAAAAAAAAAAAACCACCCCAAAAGAGAGTAAAATCCCCCAAGAGACACGAGCCACTTTGGCCACGCCGGGGGGCTTTGCAGGTGGGCAGGGACGTGCCCGGGACGTGCCCATTTCCCACCTCCATCGGCAGAGCTGACGGGTTGGAGAGAAGAGAGGAGCAACAACCCGGCTGGCTTCTGCCTCTGCTCCAGGTTTCTCTTCCTGCCCAAGTTGATTTTTGGGCCCCGGGAGGCAGCGAGATTCCCCTTTCGCCTGCTGCAAGAATCAGGCTGCCGAATCGCACCCACTCAGTCTGGCCTCTTTCCCTTCCAAATATACAGATCTCCTAGCTACCAGGTTGACTAAAAATGTCCGATTTTGGGGGTCAAGTTGATGGGTTGACCAAGGAGCACACAGGGGGCAACAAAAAATATGGAGGGTCATGTGAGCTATGCCCCAAATCACCCCCCARACCCACTGAAATCCTCCCAAAGAGGCACCAGGCAGCTAGGGGGGGCTGATCCCTTATTTTTCTTGGATCTCGATGTTGCCAAGAGCTGCGAGGATGCTGGCAGGACCTGGAACGTCGTCAGTGCCAAACAGGAGGGTTTAACTCGGAGCAAAGTGACCTCCACGCCGCCAGCCGGGGCTGCAGGACGTCAAGGGCTCCCTTACAGCGCCTGCTGCRATCAACTTGGGCAAAAAAACGGGAAAAAAAAAAGACCCAAGAAACCAAGCAGAAAAAGGTCTCTGGCTTTTAATTGAAAATGTAGTTCGTACAAACCAGTTTGGTGGCAGATATGGAGTGGGGAAAAAAAAATGAGTTGCACAAATAGCCAAGCAGCGAGGGGAACGTGCCCCAGGAGCCCCCGCGGAGCCGCGACCTGCACACTGCCATTTCCCGAGAACGGCCAAGGAAGTCTCCTCGCACGTGTTACAAACAAAAAAAATCGAGCGCACACAAATGGAGATGCTCCGTGAGCGGTGTCAGGGAAGCCGGTGGCCGCGGGACGCAAGCGGATCCGTGTCTCACAGCCACGCTGGTCACAAACGTGCCTCCGGTCAGCAATCCACAGCATTGTCCAGGTACAGAAAACAGATCTACACTCTAAGCTCCTGGTTTGTACCGTGGCGCAGTGGGATTAGCCAAGAAACCTAGGCAGGAGCTAATTCCCACTGGAATTTTTGAGCCAATAACCTTGGATATGTTACRTTTTCCTGCTTGCTAAATTTGAGGGGCAAGCGGGCGAGTTTCTGCTGCTGGAGGGCATCTGCAGCATCACCGGTGCTGAGCTTAACGCCGACAAGGTTTTAACACCGTGTTAGCAGCTTTGATTTCGTCATCGTGTCATTTGCTTCTACGAAACGTGTCAGCGGCAGCTCCAGGGCCGTTAGCGGGTTCCCAAGCCCCCTGCCTGGAGCGGGTCCGGGGCTCCGTGTATCCGGCGGATAACGCGCGGCGGCCGCGGCGCCGGGCTGGAGCTCCCGGGAAGCCGGCGCCGGAGCGCGGCGCCCCAGACGTGCCTCTTGCCTCCCACCCGTGCAGGAGGTGCCAGGCGGAAAGAGCCCCCAAGCGCTGCCTGCTCTGCCCTCCGTGGCGCCACGTGGGACCTCCCTCTCCGAGGAGAACGTCACGATTCCCTGAGAAATTCGCCTCGTTTCCTGAGAAAAGGCTCATTCCCAACCAGGGGCTCAAGAAGCCCCTCTCTRGGGAGCTGCGCCTTAACCCTGCCAACCAGCTCCCGCTCCGAGGGAGCAGCAGAGACTCCACACAGAATAAAACCCCCGTTTATCATTTCTGACACATGATTTTCACACATGTACAAGACACTTAAAAACATCCTGTCACGCAGCTTGTAAACTATTAATTCACAGAAAATGGAGAGAAAAACAGGACAATCCTTTCTGATCGCGGCAGCAGAACGTACAGTTCTCAATAACGTAATTCTTTGCCACATTGCATTTCGGTTGCCTTCCAGACTGAGATTTTTCTCCCAAAGGACAAGTGAACCACAGTAAATGCTAAGAGAGATGGGCAGTGAGAAACTAGGCCTTGAAAATAAAGAACTGAACTTGTGTTCCAGTTTACGACCACATTATTGGCATGTTCTGCAGTATGAAGCTATGGGCAATGCATTGAGAGCTTCTGAAAACTGCCGTGTTTCTGCTGATCACACACACATGAAGTAAACTCACAAGATCATAAATAACCAGTAAACACAAACCCACTTTTCTTTGCTGACCACCAAAATCACGTGCCAGGCAAGAAAGAAAAATGRCAAAAGGACAGTGCTGGTGCGGAGGCTCCCTGCCCTCGTGCTACGGGACGCTCTTCTGGCCTCACATTCCACACTCGTGGAAGCAGTTTGCACGTCACGTCCAGCCTCACTTTTACTTAAACGGAGACTTTTCCTTCCAAGTATTTTCAAGTGAAAAGCAAATCCAGTCCTATCGGGAGTAAGAGCCACAATCGGACTTTAGAGGTAGACTCTGAATGTAGTGTCACTGCTTTACATTTTGCCTAACGATAGCAGCAGGAACATCCCTCAAACACCACCAGAAGGGCAGGATTTTCTATTTCCTAGCTTATCGCTTCAGAAATGGTGCAGTTCTGTGCGGAACTGGTAGTTACCTGGAGTGTCAGTGTTTCTGCTACGAGGATTAAAATGCTACGGGATGAAAATCTGCTGTTTCTGATGCAAAGTCTAGCCATAAGAGGCAGTTTGCAGCGTGGTGTGTGCTACCCTCTGCTACGCTATGGAACGTGGTAGTGTCTGGCATCACGCTGCTTCGTGCAGGCGTGATTAGAGGCGTTCAGCAAAGAAAAGAGCTGATGTTTTAGTGTTTTAGCAGCAAAACATTTCCCAGTATGTACATCTTGATTCTTTTATACARCAAACATAACAACACAACTATTCCCTGTGCAAATTGCACATACATTTGTATATGTTCACACAGTAAACCATAGAAACGCACTGGCTCTGATGGCTACTCGCTGCGTACGGACGCACGCAGATCTACTTAGCGGGGAGAGAAGGTGGCTCCTCCGTGAGCAGTGTCCTGGTGACACTTACCGTTCTGCCACAGGCCAGGAAGGAGACTCCCAGGGCGATCAGACACAGCCAGGTCTGCAAAAGAAGGAGGTGCCGGCGATGACAAACAGCGCAACACGTTACAGGCTCAGCACAGAGCAGATTCTCAAGCAAATCTGTCCTTGAAAACCTCAATTTCCCCTCTACAGGCACTTTAGTGCCTGTAAAATATGACCACATCAATATAATGGCAGCTCTCAGGAAAATAAATCCATTGACTTGTCCCACCGCTGAGGACACACGGCTCAACAGTTACTAGTGTCAAGGCCACGAGGGACCCAGACTTACCAAATAGGCCACGAAGGACAGGTAGACGACGCTGAGAATCGCAGCACCGATGTACAGAGCCAGGTGGTTGAGGGCCATGACATAGGCCACCACAAAGTACATGTTGATGGAGCAGACCAAAAGGATCACGGCGCCGCCGCCGATCTTCCAGAACCTGCAGGCAAAATGAGAGCGCGCGGGGTGAGGCGGAAGGTCCYGTCTGGATGAGAGCTGCAGGTCACGAGGCAGGAGGGAAATGGGAGGTGTGCCTGGGAAGCAGCAACACGTCTGTTCCCGGCTGCACGTAACTCCCTTTGTACTTACAACCCATTGGCGAAATCGTTCATGACGCTGGGCAGGCTGGTGAATGTCAGGACTGGGATCAAAGCGAAAGGAAGCTGGAACATCAACAAAATAGGGAAGAATTAAAAGTGGAAACCGTTCTGATTGCRTCGGCCCGGACAAACCTCCAAGGCACGTTTGCACCTGAGAGCGTTTTCTCACTGCTATCGTCAAGGCAGTTAAAGGGGCTTCCCCTAGCTGGAAGGAGGCAGCGATTTCAACCCATGGTTGATCCCTTCCACCTCCCTCCAGGGGATCACAGCCTCCCGACAGCAGCTTGCTCTGCTCAGCTGCTCCTGCAACCCCYTAGGCTGAAATACCCAGTGCTGCAGGGCTTTCCGTGAGGCTGATCCCCCAAAGCGGGCCCACTTGCTCACCTGGAGGCTCATAAGGACATTTAGGAAGTCATTCATGCCAGTCAGGTGCTCCACATCCTGAAAGATGGCAACGAGCAGGGTGGGGGTGATGGCGATGGAGCGGGTCAGCAGCACGCGGGCGAAACGGGACCAGCGCAGATTCAGGAAGCCCTGTGAAAAAAAACAGTGGCTGCTGGATGGAAACAGCACTGGGCCTTCCAGCACGGCACAGGGAGAGGGGCTCGGGGCAGCCCTAAAAGCTGATTTGCTTGAAAGGTGCATAAAGGGGCTTGCTGAAACATCCAGTAGGGCTGAGTGTCCAAGGCAGGGCTATAACACATACTATCTTTAAAGGTTTGGAAACAGAGGAGAGTCAGATGCAGAGGCACAGSAAGCAATTACCTCCATGACAAATTGTCCAGAATATGTCCCTGTCATCGTTGAGCTCTGGCCTGCAGCGAGGATCCCGATTGCCCAGATATAGAGAGCAGCAGGGCCGAAGTAACACCCCAGAACAACGCCCTGGAAAAGAGAATTGCCGGCTCACGTCGGTCTGATCCCACATCCCAGAGCTTGAGCACCAGAGTAGGCAGATTCCCCCGTGGCCAACTCTTCCACCAGCCTAATCATGGGCACCGAGTTGAAAGAGAAGGACTAATCCCTTTGGAGGGGAGGGAGGAGCATTCCCTGTGTGAGCAGCAGCTAAGGCAGGGCCCCAAGGACCTCACTCCTAGGAAGACTCAGCATGGATGCAAGGACAAACTTTGTAATGGTCAGGCTAACTGAGCAGGGGAATAGGTGGCCAGAGAACTCCTGAAGACGCCAGATGTAGTGAGATTAGCGAAGTGCTAATTTAGGCTGGGCAAAGGGCTAGACTTGAGGACCTCCTGAAGTCTTCTCCAGGCCYGGTTTCCTACTATGAGTCCCAACCTTCAGCAGTCTCTGTTTACCCCAAAAGGCAGAGCTGTCCCCAACCCAGGATGCTGGGCTGCCAGGGACGGGGCCACGCTGCCTGGCAGGGCACTCACCCCCTTGTAGATATCCACCTCCAGCGTCTCGTTGTTGCTCGGGAACAGCGAGGAGTGTGGGCTGCTGGCGTTGGCACACACCGCGCTCTGCAACGACACCAAGGGCCACGAGGCTCGACTCGTTCAGCCAGACGAAAGCCAGCAGAGCACTAAGGGCTGCGGGCAAAACCAGCAAGTGCTGCAGGCCCCGAGGTGCTCGATGCCTCCTCAGGCTACTTTAAGGGGGAAGAGCCAACACCCTTTTCTTATCTCCTCCTTTCCACAGAGGACACATTTTCCCCTTGATGTAGGGACACTGATGAGTCTCAAACCTGCTGGTTAAGCCCTCAACCAAGACAGTCCCCGTTACTGATCTAACAGCCCCGTGACTGCAGGTCAGCTGGTTCCCAAAAACCACATCCCAACGAGCGATGTCACAGCTCCAAGCAGCAACTCACCACGTTTGCATTTGTCTTTTCAAAGAAAGCCTCAGCAAAGACAGACACAACAAAGATGTTGATGATGAAGGAGATGAAGAGAGCTATGCAGGACTCGATGAAGAAATATTTATTGGCTTCTTTCACTTCYCTCTTATTTGCACGATTCACCTGCCGGGACTGAAAAGGAGAGGGTCATAGAAGCAGCTTTGAGAAACGGGAATTACTGTATTCTTTATAGCTGTAATTATACTAGATTACAGTGGGACACAGAGCAAAACATCATCTGAAGAACAAGCAATGCCCAGGAGTCCGAAATGCAGCTGGTTTTATCAGCAGGCCCATGCTAGCCAAGGGATGGACATTCCTTGTTCCCACATCTGCACATAAGGAACACGTGTCCACAGGGTCTCAACTGGCTTCTTCCGAGGGGGTTGCCACATTCCCACTGAAGCAAATGCTTAGAGGAGGTTGCCAAGTGCCCATGGCTGGGACTGCTCGAGCCTTCCAGCCACCGGTGAGCCACCCCAGCGCTCGTTTTTTGCGTTAATTTAAGCAGCGGCTTACCTTGACGAGCGCGGAGTGCAGGTACATGTTGTGCGGCATGATAACAGCGCCCACGATCCCCACGGCTTGCTCCAGCTGGGCCGTGCCGCAGTTCTGGCAGTATGGGACRAACAGCCCTTTCAGCAGGCTCCCCTGATCTGGCTTTACTGTAACATACTGGGCACAGAGACAAAATGACCCATTTCAGCCTGACGTGCACCACGCAGCAGCTTGTGCACCAGCACAGCACCAACAGTGTCTGTTTGAAGACGCTCAGGAGCTGAAACGCGGCCACCTTGCAAACAACAAGAGCAGAGCGGGGCCATCGCCTCTCATTCAATAGAAGAGAGGTTCACTGGGCAGCAGGCATCGCTCGTGCCCGTGCCCGTCCTCGAGGCAACGCTCACTACACCCCTCACTGCCAGCGTGCCATTCAGAAAGGCACAAATCAGAGCCCTGCAAACACAGACTCCGCTCCAAAGGGCCTTCATTTCAGTCACAAGGCTCTATCTCAGTGGCTTCATGCTGTCCAGAAAAGGAAATTGTCCCCAAACAGCGCTAGGGGAAGCCAGAGGGGGCCAGCGAGGGTACCTCGTATCCAAACGTAATGGCCATGATGGTAATCAGAAAGCCAAAGAACGCTTCCAGTTTTCGCAAGCCTGCAAAAAGAAAAACGCCATCAGCCACCTCCAAACAAGGCCGTGCCTCAGATTTTCCTGTCACAAGCTGAAGGAAAAAGGAGGAATTACCGTATTTGTCCAGGAAGAGAAACACGAATGTGTCAGCAATGGTGATGAGCACGCCACCCCACAGCGGGATCCTGRGGGGACACCAGAGCAGGCATCAGCTTAGAGAACACTTTGACCTCCCCTTCTAGCCACATTAAGCCCCAAATCTCCTTTTAATGAGGGTTTGTTTAGGAATGGAACCGCATTGTTCAAGGGTTTGTTTGCATTCTGACAAGACGTTTGTCTACATGGGGCAAGAGACCATAGGTTTATTTTCTGTACAAACAGCTCTGATAAGGGTTTTCCCCCTGAAACTAGAAAGCAAGTCACATGCCCACACTGAGAGCGACAGGAGTGACTTTGAGTTTAATAACTAGCTGGGACAAAACTCTACCTTCCCATTACGTTTTCCTTTCCAAGCTTCCTGCCCAAAGAGTTATCTTTCTGGCAGTGGTTTGCTGGGAATATAAGATTTGCCAGGAAGGCTGCAGCCTGGTTCTGGTGCATCCTAAAGTATAACCCAGCCACACACTATTCCCTTTTAGCAAAATAACGGCACCAAAGGCTGAGTGATTCAAGATGAATACGCCTTGGCTTAGATGAATCACCCTCCACAAAGTGCTTATTTCAGAAGATTTATGGGAAATAAATGAACATATTTGGTGCACACAGTGTCACTTTCTTAATCCTAAAATACACCAGTTTCCTGTGATGACAAATCCAACTTACTTCCCCATAGACAAGAGGTTCAGGGCGATTGCTGAGCCAATGACTTCTTGCATGTCGGATCCGATGATAGCGAGCTCGACCATCAGCCACAGGATAATCCGAGGAACCTAGAGGTACAGAAACGCCGAGGCCACTAAGAAAGGGGAAAATTCCTCTCTGTGCAATCTCCTACAGAAGGATGTGATCGTGGACAATTATACACCGAGGAAAGGTCTCTTTTTCCAGACTTGCTACTGCCACATCAAATTAATTAGTGGAAAATGGTAGAAAATTGCCATGCTATGGCTGCTCCAGAGCAGAAATACAGGTTACCCGCTAGATTTCCCCCCGCTGGGCCACAGGTCCCTCCCCACTCCCAAGACCCTCCAATCCTGCCCGCTCCGTTCCGGCAATGGGGAGCAAAGGGGCAGTGCCCTGTGGTTGTCACCGCGAGGTTGTCACCCACCTTCCGGTACTGCCGGTTACAGACTTCAGCCAGGTGCAGCCCCGTCACCACCCCCAGCCTGGCCGCCAGCCGCTGCAGCAGCAGCCCGATGATCGTGGCCAGCAGCAGCACCCACAGCAGCTGCGGGAGACAGGGAGACAGGAGTGGGTGCCCTGGTGCAACAAGGCACTACGGCCACACGCAGGGTCCCCCAGGGCACGCGAGAGTCTCGCTCGGCCTTGTCACCGAGCAGCGACAACAGGGCTTTTAGTGCCCCAAAGCAGCGGGCAGCACTGCGGTAGGAGGGCCGCACGACTCAGCGTGCTTCAGCTTTTCCACTGACCTTAAATCCTGCGACAGCGCCGGACTGTAAATCCGACTCGATGTTGCCCGGGTCCAGGTAGGCAATGCTCATGAGGAAGCCGGGCCCCGTGAAGGCCCAGAGCTTGCGGAAGCTGAAGCACGAGTGCTTGGGAAGGGGAGAGAGGAGCGGGAGGTGAGAACTCAGCTCCGCATGGGAGCCCCTAACCCTTGCCGAGAACCACCCAGCTGCCAGACATACCAAATGGCAAGGTGACAAGACACGGGCAGTTTTTATTTAATTTTTCACTGCCGTGAAACAAACGGACTCTGGTGTGATTCATTTTTCAGCGGCTCCTAAACTCTAAAGCGATTCGTTTAGTTTGGGACAGCCAAGGCAACAATCAGGGCGGGAGATGAAGCCTCCTCTGCCTGCATTGCTCAGTGAGAGGAGCACCTAAATGCTGAACTTAAAGTCTTCCAAGAAGACAGTGCTCCTGGGGGCYGGACAAGGGCCAGGTAGGTCTTGATAAGGGAACAAAGAGCTACGCTCCCTTCCCCTGGGGCAATACACAAAGAATTTCTCTGCTCTTTGGCCAAYGGTAAAGCAGGACCAAGGATTCAACCCCTTCTCTCCCAGATTTCTACCTACTGGAGCTGGCTGGCTTTGCCACCCTTTCCAGTGTCCACAGAAGGGAAACCAGCACCCAAGGGAATTACTGACACGGTGCCAAACGCACTCAGATTGTCCCGTCGGGGGAGCTGGCTACACTTACCGTTTCATCCTCAGGAATCGGGATCTTGCTGTYGAAGTAGGTGGTAAAGGGCTCCTCAGAGGAGGCGTCTGGAGGCTGCAGTGGGTTCATGCTGCTGGAAATTGTGCTGACAACCTCCCCATTTTCCCCAGAGGAGTCTTCTGGAAAGAGGAAAAAGGAGAAAATGAGTGAGGAGTTAGTATGAGCTCTCTGGAAGGACACAAAACTKGGCAGACCCACAGGAAAAGCAAAAGAGCTTGTCTGCCTTCACAGTTAGCACCAGTCAAGCTATTTCTGAGAAATAAATATGTGAAAACAACACAAGAAGCTACCCTAGGGGCCTCACCTTGTACAGAGCAGGTTGCCTGACCTCTCCCCCTTTCACACAGCGGGAGCAGGCCGGGGGAGCTGGCTGCTTTCTAAGATTTGCTACAAAAAGCTGTCCCGGGACACTGCCTGTAACGGCAGCCCAGCCACGTTAACCTAATGATTAACTGCAAGTCGAATTGAAGAGAGACGACGTGTCCACTTTTACAGGGCCACAAATAGCAAAAAAATAGGAAAACTTTAGCCCAGAGAAACAGATGTCTGAGGAGTCCAGGTAAATCCGGGAAGGATCTGCTATGGGGAGCGCTCCGAGGGAATCACAAAGCAGCATTTGTTTGGAATTAAGTGCCAAGTAGGAGGCAGGAGACTGCCTGATAATCCTGCCTTCTCTTAAAGCTTTAGAGGAACGGGGAGAGCCAGGCCGGCTGAATTCTCAGGACAGTTTCTAAATTGAATTCCTGCGAAAGATGCAYGAGGTTAGTCCAGCAACAAAGTCACAAAAAGGCAGATCCAGAACTGCACACACAGGTTGCGCGTAAAGCCTGACCCTCCTCTGGCCAGCTGCCCAAAGCCGCAGATCCCGAGGTGAGGCAATACTCACGTCTGCTACCTCTACAGGGCATCTCGCCCTACGAGCCGAAGGGCAGCGCGCGGCCCGAGCRCTCGTCTCGGGAGAGGAGAACTAAAGGCAAGGGCAGCTCTTTTGCCAAGTTTCCTATTGCATCACCAGGGTAAACTGCAGTTCGTGGCTCCTCCTCTTCCCTGCCTCCCAAGTAACTCACACACCTCTCATTTGGAGACCCTGGCTCTGGAGCTACCTGCGTGTGCGCGCGGGCAAGAGGGATCTAACCACACAMGGGCAGCTTGTTCGACCAGTTAAGCAGGGCCGCAGGAACCGTAAATCTATCGCTGGCTCATTTGAGAAGCGCGAGCGTCTGTGTCCACTCTGATATTCACGCCTATGGGAGAGCAAACCACGAATTCCAAGGGTGGTTTTTGCAGAACAAGGGAATAAAACAGATGGAAATGAAGGTTGATATGTCAGAGCAGGGCTGGTGTGCCASAGCGCCGACCTTACCATAGGACGCTTTCCGGTCTGCTCCAGGCCCCATCGTGGAATCCTTCCCGCGGCTGGAAAACTGTTTTAAATTGGCCACGTTGGCTGCAAAAGAGAGAGGGAAGGGTTTGGTTACCGAAATGTATCCAGGAGAGTAGCGACCTGCGAGACGAAGGAGAGAACCAAGAGCTACCGGCAGGGACAGAGCTACTTCTGCAGCCCTTTTCCAGCTTCAAAGTATCCCGCAGGCCAAGGAGAGTGGCCTGGAACCTGCCTGGAAACTCAGGTTGCCACAACGTGAAAAGGGAGCGGACGGCTGAGCTGGGCAAACTGGCACAACCGAAGTGTTTGCAAGCTCCTAGGCTTGGGACCCGGCGCATTGCGTAACTCCAGCCAGAGAAACAAGAGTGGAATTTCCTTGATGTGTAAAAAAATTGCACAGCATCCCTCCCCGCCAGGCATGACTATCAGCCCCGTGGTGCAGCCGACGTCTCTTCTAAGACATGATTCAACTCTTTCATCACGGTAGAAGAGGTCTAATTTAGCGCTAATTAGACCTGATTTTAGGTCTAATCCATGCAGAAGGAAACGGGGATCTGCTACAGGCCTTCGGATGAAGCCGGCATCCCCCAGACTTTACGCAGTCAACCCCTCGAAGCCGCCAAGGACACGGTATATACGTTTGGTATGTAAAGCACTCAGCCTCCATCAAAGCCTGTTACACATTAACCGGGGGCTTTCTTATATTGGCTCAGTGAGTCTCTGGGARGATAGGAGAGGAAAATATTAGCTGGGAATTTACTTTAAGTGACGTGAACCAATTTTGGGGTTTTAGAGATAAATTCACCGATTCCATCAGGAGCAAATGTCCATAGCAGTGGTTTGTAACGAAGCCTGACACACTATCCCACGCAGGGCAGGAGCAACGGCGCTTCTTGCGGGCACAAGCACAATTGTTATTTCCCTACCCGAACGCACTCAAGATTTTAAAGGGCTGACTCTRGAGTGAAGGTCAATCAAGATGAAGAGGGCCAGGGGGCCCTCAAACTGTTAGATTTGCTGCCTCTCGCTCGGACGCTCTCAGATGGCTGCGCACGAGTTTGGTCGCACGCGACTCGCAAGGACGCAGGATGTCAGATGCCACCATAGACACCACGGGTGCTACACGCTTTAGATGCACCAGCACACCGAAAGTCCCTGTCCCTGTCCCTCAGAGGCTTTAACAGCCACCGAGCAGCTCTGCGGGGAGAAGCCGTGGGTAAACACGAGGCCTCTTTCACAGCCACAACCTCCAGGCTGGAGCAAAACTTACCTATCCCAAGCGACAGTTGGGCACTTACCCTGTTCTATTTCTTCCTCGGCTTACATTTAAAGCACAGACCTAAGGGCTTTAAAAACCTACCAGTCAGCAATAAGTTGTATTTTCCGAGAGCCAGCCCCATGGGCAGGAACAATCTCGGCAGCAAGCTCCAAGAAGTGGCCGCTTCGTTCAGGAAGGCAAAGGGGAAGATCACGGGGTAAATCCCCGGTGCAGCACGAGAGCACCCGAAATATCTCCCTGCAAAACGCGTCCCAGCCCGGGCGTGAGCCGAGCGGGCCCCTATCTCGGCCCACAAGCTCCCCCAGCAAACGAGCTCCCGGCAAACGAGCTCCTGACACGCTCGTTCGCCAGCGTTCCTGCCGCGTGGGTCCTTCTCCCACGCAATTCCAACAAAAGCTGCCATCGCCTGGCACCGGACGGGAATATTCTGCCTCGCTGGATTTCTTCCAGCCTCCCTTGGAGAACAGAACTGGAATGTTGCTAAGGGGATTAAGGCAAAAAATACATCCAAGGGATGATTTTTCCCACTGGCTGGGTGAGGCCTGTAGYGAGATGCTCTCCCTGCACTCCTACAGCGGCAGGTGGAGGAAATTATAGGGCTTGCAGGACACAGAAGGAAGGGATTTATCCTTCCTTCCATCCATAACCTCTATCTTTAGGTAATTCCTCATAGGGGACGAGTGCCTTACGGGCTCGCTGGGCCGCATCCTGAGGCGATGTCGAGGCAGGGCACCGACGGTTACCCCAGCTGCAAGTTAACGGCCCAAATTCCCTCCTATGCAAGACCTGAGCTCCCATGCAGAAATATTCCTTGGAATAAGTCAAAAGGTCAAGAACGGACTACGGAGGAGCTACTCTAATCCAAAAAGCAAACACACTAGTCCTGTTCCCTAGACATTGAATACCCAGGCAGCAGATAACAGAGCGTTCTTCTGCATGCAGCGCGGCTTTTTCCTGCTGAAAAACGCGCGTTTCAGTCCAACGGGGCCGTTCGTAGCGCAGCACAGCACAAGTGCTGTCTGGTGGGGAGGAGCAAAGCCCGGCGGCTGCTCGTGCAGTGGCAGCGTGAAGGCACAAGGGTTTATCAGACAACAGGGGCTCTGCCTTGTGTCACGCAGAGAGCGGTTCCTGTGATGGAAAGTGCTGCCTTTGATGGCGGGTTCTGCAGGGCACGTCGCTACCGGAGCTCTCAGCGCAGCTGGGAGGTGCCCACGGAGCAGGGCCTGGCCTCTCCGTCCCTCACACCCCTCCTGCTCCGCGGAGGCGCCCGGCCGCGCTGCTGCTCAGCCCGCAGGAGCCCTCCCCGCTCTCGCACTCGTGACCAAGAACAAAAGCAAAATACGTGAAAACAGGGCCGTAAACATYGCCTGGTGGAGCTCCACGCGAGGCRGCTCGCCTGGCTGGCTCCACAACAGCTTGGACGAGCCCRCTCCCTGCTAATTGCTCCCCTCTTACGGTGCGCTCGGGTCACCTACGTGCTCAGCCGGGGCGAAGACACATTTCAACCTACGCCGGGATGCCCTGGGCCGAGCGCCGGGGCGCCCGGCCCTGCAGCTGCGATCCCAACCGCTCACGTATGGAAACAGGCAGCGCGGTTTATTTATTTCCTTTAGGGATGTGGGAAGAACGACACGTGGGAAGGAACGACCTAAATGCAGGAGAAAGTCTCCTAAAAAGCAGAAGGGTCCTGGTTTTAAGAGTACGTCTCTTGGCTGCTCCTAATCGTTCTCTCCTGGTTTTTGTGCCGTGGAAGGAGAGGCAGGATGTTGTTGCACACCTGAGACTTGAAGTATTACTGCAACACAGGATTAAAAAAAAAAAAGTCCTTTTGAAATGTCCCCTGCACAGCGAGGGGAGACGCAGCCCTCGGCTGAGCCAGGTCTGGCTTTACAGCAACCGCTGCCGGCCTCGGCATTCCCTGCTCCTCCCGAGCGCGCCGCCGGAGTTTGGACCCCGGGCTGCGGCTCCGCAGCGATAACGGGGCGCCCGGCGCGTGGCCTGGATCCCACAGTCCTGCCTCACGCCGGGGCTCGTCCCCAGCGCCAGCCTCGGCGCACCAACGGGGACAGGATTTTCTCTGCCACGCGCGCCCGCAGCCGCAGGACTGGGCGCACCCAGGACACAGGGCCCCGAAGGTCCCAGACAGCCTTCGGGCAGTGAACAGGGCAAGCGGGGYGGCAGATGAAAAGCAGGGGCCACACGGACGGTTCAAACGCTACGCGGGCCGGCTGCTACGGCGCAAAACACGGCGTTTTGGGCTTGATTTAAAGGAAACCAGCAAGGAGGGCATCCCACCGGCGGGATGAGCACCCGGGCGGGCGCCTAGGGCGGAAGGCAGGGGATTAAGGAGGGCGCCGTGCGGGTGCGGCCGCCGGCACCGCGACGCTGAGCGCGGGTTCGACAAGGACGGGTGGCCCCGGCCTGACGTGTGGGGCGGGGGACACCCAAGGTCACCAAGCGGCCGGGCAGGAGGTGGCCGTGACAGCCCCCCCCCAACACCCCCGTCCTTCCGCAGGCGGGGGGACCCCAGCACCCACCGTGGCGGRGGGGGCAACACCCGCCTCAGTGCGTGAGGACCCCCCCCAACCCAAACTCACCTCAGTGTGTGAGGACCCCCTCCCCCAACCAACACTCACCTCAGTGTGAGGGACCTCCCGGCAGCACTCACAGGAGTGTGAGCGAGCACCTCCCCCTCCCAGCACTCACCGGAGCGCGTGTTCCTCTATGGGCGACCCACATGTTCCTGTATGGGGGACCCACCTCCCCGGGTGCCGGTGCCCCCCTCCCCGCTCACCGCCTCCGCTGCCCCCGGCCGCCCCCGCCGCCGCCGCCGCCTCATGCCCCGGCTGCGGCCCGCGCTGCCGCGGGGCCGGCTCCGCTCGGCGCCAATCGGAGCCGCTCGGGCTCGCTCGGCTCCGGGAAGCCCGTTCGGCTCCGCTCGGGAATATTCGGACTCGCTCGGCTCCGGGAAGCCCGTTCGGCTCCGCTCGGGAACATTCGGGCTCGCATGGCACCGGGGAGGCCGCTCGGCTCCTCTCGGCTGCGCTCGGCTCCTTTCGGACTCGCTCGGGTCAGAGGCGGCCGCTCGGCTCCTCTCGACTGCGCTCGGGATCGTTCGGCTCCGTTCGGCTCCGCTCGGCTCCCCTCGGCCGTGACTCGGCTCGGAGGGGCAGGGGGACACGGAGACCCTCAGCACGGGACCAACATGGGGACACCGACCCCACTTTCCCTCCCCCTCCACCCCGGTGCAGCCCAACCACGGGGACATCAGCCCCCCGTGAAGACCCCCCCGCAGGGTGACCGGCACCCTCAGTGCTGCTCCCCTGTGGGGTCACCGGGACCCTCAGCAGAGCGTGACCACAGGGACATTTTCCCCCCTTTTTACATCCAGGGAGTTAGCGCTGTGGAGCAGACGCAACATTTCTGCCCTAAACAGAGGGGCCAGGCGGCTGGAGTTCTCTCTGATGGATGGTTTATTCCATTAGAAAACACGGATCCGTCAGGACCGAGAAGGTTCCTGAGGGTCACGCTGATGTCAACAACGTTTATCAYGTTGACAACCTGAATGTCCAGATCTTCAGCTGCCAACGTAACTAACAGCCGCAGACACGAGCTCTCTTTGAATATTTACRTTATGTCACAATAAATCTGTATTTTACCTCCTTGTCACCGAGAACATTCTGCCTTTTGGGGAAAGGAGACTCTCAGTTTGGGTTTTGCTGGATTTTTAGCCTATCTTTTGTAGGAGAAAATGCTGTTCCTTCACAGATAGCCTGCTACTCTGGAGATTCCCATGAAAATTTAAGAGTTTTTTTTAAAGTGGACAAACAATCCTGGCTGCCGGAATTCATTCCTCACTTTCTCCAAGTATGCAGGTTTTGCAATCTTCATTCCTTGTTGCTTAAACAAGAGAGCAAAACAACCACGTGGGACATTCCCCAAAGCTCTGAATCCAGGAAAGACGAGAGCAGAGATCTGGGAAAAGGGAGGCTCGGCAGCTGCTTGTTTCACCTCACCTCTTCGGAGGATGGGCCGAAATCCCGGCTCAGAGCGGGCATAAGAAGACAACAGGGATAAGAAACACACAGCAGTGCCAGTGTGACCACAAGCCTTGCGCTTTCCCATTGGGATGCGCCCAGGAAGGGGCAAATGGCCTTGAACAGCTTCCTTGCTTGGAAAGCGGGCACCTTTCTGCATGCAGGTTCAAGAAACGGTGCAGATTCTGGGATTATATGCCCCTCAGAGGAAGATGCCAAAAATCTATCTTGTTCCCAAAATACTAGTGAAGAATATCTCTCAGAGGGGGGAAATGAAATGACTGCCTTTTGCAAATATATGTGTGTATATATATACACATATAAATTTATATCTTTTTTTTGGAGCTATACGGAATGCTATGTGGAAAGAAGCTCCCTCTCCTGCAGCCACAAAGAGGTTTTCCAGGAGCGGCTTTCCTAGCGCTAGGATTATCGATACTCACCCAGCTCACAGGACGGCGAGTTCTGCTCCAGCCTGTATTTCTTGGGCATTGCACAGCAGGGCTGCTGCTTCTTGCTCRGCTGTTTCTGGGACAAGATAGCGCGGGCAGCGCTCCTTCCTCTATATACGAGGTGTCCCCACCCGTCCCGCCGGCTCCCTCCCTCCGGCCTCCGCCCGGGCCAGGGGCAGCGCAGGCGGGAGCCCCGCTCCGGCCGGCGCGGGGCACCGTCCCCCCCGAGACGCTCAGCAGGCAACTCAAAGTCTTCCGAGCGCAATTGCATCTATTCCCGCCTTATCGTCGCTGTAAAACTGCCCGAGGGGCAATTAATGGGACGGCCGCGCGCTTTGATGCGGAGCCTTTTGGGGAAAGGGGGTTATGCRTTCACTGGGGCACGTTATCAACCCCGGGGCTCCATTAAAAAGCCATTTGGGGGAGCATCGGGAGCGCGCCGCTGATTAGCGCCGCAGAGCGGCCTGGACTCTGCTCCACTGGGGCCGTTGGACAGATTAGAGCCCCAACGGGCAGCGCGGCGCGTTTTCCAGCCGCCGGTACGTGCGGCGGTGATAAGACATTCTGCCTTCCCCTGGCTCGATCAATACAATATATTATCACCAATTCCTGCTGGCCTGAAACGCATGAAAGCGCATTGATAACCCCCTGGTTTCCCTCAAAACTACAAAAGGGCCCTGGTGYCTCTCTCTGATAAGCAACAGCTGAATGTGCAACACATAAGAAGCCCTGTGTACAAGGGTGAGAGGCTCGGTTGTCAGCTAAGAAGGGCAAAGACACCTGTGTGCGTGACTGCTTCCACGCTGCTCCCGCTCCCCTCGCGCCTCCGAGCGGCTCCCAGTGGGTTTGGGAGGCTTTCTCCGAAGAGGAGACGGCGTCCTCCTTGGAAAAGCATCTTGGAGAACTCGCGGAGCACAGAGACGATGCTGGAAAAGCTGGAAATGAGAAAATACAGCGCTTGGCTTTAGCAATGTCATAGGAAAAAAATAAAAGAAARTAAAGCTTAGGGTAAAGGAAGAGATCGTCTTTAAGGCTCCTGACMCTGTTTCCCATGACAGTCTCATAGCCAAGGAGCAAACATGACCTATATGGAACTACGCGGGACCAGCTGCCAAACTGGTTTGGCCGAGCGGGTCACGGGCATCGCGCTGCAGAAGGGAGGGACGTCGGCGCGAGGCTCTGCTGCCCGCGCCCGCGCGCCCAGCGGGGCCGCCCGCGCCCTGCGCCTCCACAGTCCGGGGATGGCTGCAAAACAGGCAGCGACTCGGAGGGACAAACACACCCAGGACAGGGACAGGGCGGCTGACGGGAGCAACCCGGGAGAGGGACGGGCCTCAAGCGGAGCTGCCGGACAGGGAAACGGGGCTCTGCGAGGGGAAAGCTCCCGGAGGATGGGATTCGCACCGAGGGAAGCAGAGGCTGCACAAGGGAAACCTTCCCAGAGGCCCTTAATGGGGGCTGGAAATGGGGAGCCCTTCATGGGGGGAAGGGGGTGGAAGAACCCTTCMTGAGTGGGTGCTAAGGGAAGGGATCCTTAATGAGGGCGGAATAAAGGAGAGGAGCCTTAGAGGCGAAAGGAAGGGACCCTTAAAGGGGGCTTTGAAGCGGACTCTCTTATCAGAGGGTCGAATTGGCCTGAAGGCTGGGGCTAACCCTAAACGGGAAGCCCTTTAGTGAGAGGACCCTTAATGAGGAGAGCTGCTCACGGACGGAGCTCCGTGGGGACCTGTCATAGAGACCCTTAATGACGGGGCCTGACGGGGGGTCCCGAATGCGAGCGGGGCTTCATGGCGGCGCGCAACCGCCGCCGCCATTGCCGGCGCTGCCTGAGGAGCCACTTCCGCCCGCCCTCACGTGACCCCCGCCGCCACTTCCGCCCGCCTTCCCTCGCCCTTCCCGCCCGCGCCGCCTCCAGCCAATCAGCGCCCGCCGCGCG